CGTAACCGATTTTCTCTCAATTTTCCTACAATTTCGGCTACTCCTACTTTACCTCGGATATCCTCATTCCTAATCTTATCCTTTCTCGTGTGCCCACACATCCAACGAAGCATCCTCATCTCCGCTACACCCATTTTGTGTACGTGTTGATGCTTCACCACCCAACATTCTGTGCCATACAGCATCGCCGGCCTTATTGCCGTCCTATAAAGTTTTCTCTTGAGCTTCAGTGGCATACAACAGTCACACAACACGCCGGATGCACTCTTCCACTTCATCCATCCAGCTTGTATTTTATGGTTGAGATCTCCATCTAATTCTCCGTTCTTTTGCAAGATAGATCCTAAGTAGCGAAAACGATCGCTCTTTGGTATTTCCTAATCTCCAATCCTCACCCCTAACTCATTTTGGCCTCCATTTGCATTGAACTTGCACTCCATATATTCTGTCTTTGATCGGCTTAGGCGAAGACCTTTAGATTCCAACACTTCTCTCCAAAGGTTAAGCTTTGCATTTATCCCTTCCTGAGTTTCATCTATCAACACTATATCGTCTGCGAAAAGCATACACCAAAGAATATCATCTTGAATATGTCATGTTAACTCATCCATTACCAACGCAAAAAGGTAAGGACTTAAGGATGAGCCTTGATGTAATCCTACAGTTATGGGGAAGCTTTCGGTTTGTCCTTCATGAGTTCTTACGGCAGTCTTTGCTCCTTCATACATATCCTTTATAACTTGGATATATGTTACTCGTACTCCTTTCTTCTCTAAAATCCTCCAAAGAATGTCTCTTGGGACCCTATCATACGCTTTTTCCAAATCTATAAAGACCATGTGTAAATCCTTTTTCCCATCTCTATATCTTTCCATCAATCTTCGTAAGAGATAGATTGCCTCCATGGTTGAGCGCCCTGGCATGAACCTGAATTGGTTGTCCGAAACCCGTGTCTCTTGCCTCAATCTATGCTCAATGACTCTCTCCAGAGCTTCATTGTATGACTCATTAGCTTAATACTCCTATAGTTCATGCAATTTTGTACGTCGCCCTTATTCTTGTAGATAGGCACCAAAGTGCTTTTTCGCCACTTAGTTGGCATCTTCTTCATTTTCAAAATCCTATTGAAAAGGTCAGTGAGCCATGCTATACCTGTCTCTCCCAAGACTTTCCACACTTCGATCGGTATATCGTTTGGGCCCACTGCTTTTCTATGCTTCATCTTCTTCAAAGCTACAACCACTTCTTCCTTCCTGATTCGAAGATAAAAGGAGTAGTTTCTACACTCTTCTGAGTTACTCAACTCCCCTAAAGAAGTACTCATTTCATGTCCTTCATTGAAAAGATTATGAAAATAACCTATCCATCTGTCTTTGACCGCATTCTCTGTAGCAAGAACATTTCCATCCTCATCCTTGATACACCTCACTTGGTTTAGATCCATTGTCTTCTTTTCCCTTGCTCTAGCTAGTTTATAGATATCCAACTCTCCTTCTTTGGTATCTAGTCGCTTATACATGTCGTCATAAGCCGCTAACTTAGCTTCTCTCACAGCTTTCTTCACCTCTTGCTTCGCTTTTCTATACCTTTCACCATTTTCATCAGTCTTGTCCTTGTATAAGGCTTTACAACATTCCTTCTTAGCCCTCACCTTTGTTTGTACCTCCTCATTCCACCACCAAGATTCCTTTTGGTGTGAGGCAAAGCCCTTGGACTCTACTAATACCTTTTTTGCTACTTTTCGGATACAACTAGCCATGGAATTCCACCTTTGGCTAGCTTCCCCCTCTCTATCCCACCCTCACTGGGTGATTATGTTCTCTTTGAAAATGGCTTGTTTTTCTCATTTTAGATTCCACCATCTAGTCCTTGGGCACTTCCAAGTCTTGTTCTTTTTTCTCACTCTTTTGATATGTACATCCATCACCAACAAGCGATGTTGATTAGCCAAGCTTTCTCCCGGTATAACTTTGCAATCCTTACAAGTTATACGATCCCCTTTCCTCATTAAAAGAAAATCTATTTGTGTTTTTGACGACCCACTCTTGTAGGTGATCACATGTTCTTCTCTCTTCTTAAAGAAGGTGTTGGCTAAGAAGAGATCATATGTCATTGCAAAATCCAAGATAGCTTCCCCATCCTCGTTTCTCTCCCCAAAATCATGGCCACCATGAAAACCTCCATAGTTGCCTGTCTCCCTGCCCACGTGTCCATTTAAATCTCCTTCTATAAATAACTTCTCCGTTTGGGCAATTCCTTGCACCAAGTCTCCAATGTCTTCCCAAAATTTCTCCTTCAAACTCGTAACCCTACTTGAGGTGCGTACGCACTAATGACATTGATGAGTTCTTGTCCTATTACAATCTTGATTGCCATGATTCTATCTCCTACCCTCTTGACATCTACAACATCTTGTGTCAAGGTCTTGTCCACGATGATGCCAACACCGTTTCTCGTTCTATTTGTGCCCAAATACCAAAGTTTAAACCCTGAGTTTTCTAGATCCTTTGCCTTAAGACCAATCCACTTAGTTTCTTGTAGGCACATAATATTTATCCTTCTCCTCACCATAAGTTCCACTACTTCCATAGATTTTCCCGTTAAGGTTCCTATATTCCACGTTCCTAAACGCATTCTACTCTCTTGAACTCTACCATTCTGTCCTAGCTTCTTCACCCTCCCCCGTCCAATAGGATCAAAGTACTTCTTTTGTGTGTCATGTGTAAAGTTGATAGGAGCATATGCTCCCAAACAACTTTGAGTGGAGTCGTTCGAAAAGAAGTTTCTATGGCCCCTTGCTCATTTAACACTGCATCCGGGTGCCGATGGAGATACAGCGACCCTTGTTCACTTATCACTGTGCTCGGGCGACACAGCGCGCCATTTACGGGTGACGCCCTAGCTTTAGCGCGATTTCGTTCTGGATTCATTTTCATAAGGATTCGACGTAACTGTGGAATGCCGGCTGTCGACTACCTGACGCCCTCCCCCTCCTCCTTTACCCGGGCTTGGGACCGGCAATGTAAGATAAACTTACACAAACGAAGTTAGTTTGAGTAGCAAAGCATGGAGATAAAATTGCCTACTAGTTGATGAGTTTTGTAAGTCTTTCCGTCCTCATTTGTCCTAACTTGGGAGGGAGCCAGAGGATTTTCCTACGTCTGTGTGTACATTTTATTTGTTTATTATGTAGGATATTTCATATGATGTGAACGTGAAAATTAATTTGAGAATCGAAATTAACATTAAATTTATAAATTGGAACCTATTCACCTCCCTTAAACTAGTACCATCCTTCATTGAAACATAACATATGAGCACTCCATCACCACCTTCTCCTTTCACACCATGGTAGATTTTGCGGATTTCTCAACCACCAATCTCTTTCTCGCAAAATACTTCTATGACAGTGATACATTGCCATGGTAGAGTCTCAAGCCAATGAATCAATTATAACTAGTAAGTTTTTCTCCACTTAATATCATGTCATGAGCACGAAATGCGATAAAGAGGATACACCATGTTCATACTCATTTCAAGACAGATAAGGACCCAAAGGAAGAGAAAAATAAAACCATCACAAACCTACCACTTAAACCCCAAAACCGAAACCAAAAAGAATTCGTGCTCCCTCACTCTTTCGACAGCCAACAATGGTGAACCTGAGGACGGCAATGGACTCAGCCTTCTGGGACTTGAACGTTTCTTCGCCTCAGACCCTTGAGGGCTCCGCCATTGCCGTTCCTGGTGACCCATTTCCTCTCAAGGGTGCTCGAGCCAGCCGAGCCCTTAGGATTCAGCAACTCTCTCTTCTGGGTGTTATACCTTCCTACAACCCCAATTCTAACAGGGACTTGGTCTTTCTCTCTCCAGTCCCTCTTGCTCAGACCAGCTCCCTCTAACTGGTACGCTGCTACAACTTATTTGCTTAGCTATTGCCTATTGGGTTTTCTCAAATTTATTTTATTTTCCATTTAATGGATATTCTTTTTCGTTTTACGTGTTTCCATGGATTGGTTTGTGGTTTGTATGGTTACTGAGAAAATGATGGGAAATTGGTGTGATTCGTTTGTTGTTTGTTTGGTTGCCGGGAAAGTTTGGAGAGAAGAGCAATTGAAATTGTTGTTATGGGGTTGAATTGGGTTAAGGAAAAAGGTTAGGAAAGATAATTTGTCTCCTGTTTCCTGAGAAATGAACATTTTTTTTGTTCCCCAAATTCGTATTTTTGTAAACGATTTTTATGTTACTAATTGCTAAGGAGCCTCTGCTTCTAGGTTTGGTTTGTTCTTTGTTTGATATTTAGGAAGATGTTGGTATGTTGTATAAACTTTGGGTTATTGGTAAATTACTTGATGTGAGAAAGAGAGCTTGAGTGGAAAACTTGACAGCCGAACAAAGCTCGTTTGCCTAGTTCTAGTGGTATGGCACATAAAGCATGAATTCTTTGTTGCCTTGTTATTTTACTGATTTGCAAGCGGGTTCTTATGTTTTTCGAGAGCATCAAAGCTTTATCAGGTTTATTAGAGCACTGGTTGGGATTATCCCTATTTTTTATGGGATTTCTTAGGTGAAAAAGTTTGTTTCGATGTTTTGAAATCTGAACAATATCATCGCTAATGAATGTACTGTGTAAATGCATTGTATTTTTGAAATTACTGATCCAAATGTGTTAAGTTTAATGTCCTAATTCCTTGAGCATGTTTTCTGTTGGAGGAGTGAATTAAGAGTTACTATGCTTAGACCAAAGTCATCTCATATTAATCAAATCCGGTTAGCATTCTTAGTTGTCCGACATACTAATTCCCTTGTTACATGATCTGCGTGAAAATAGGTGGCTTGGATTAATTGGGCAGTTCCGCCCGAAGAAACTCTTTTCTTCTATTAAAGCTGAATTTACCAATGATGAGATGGGGGTCCCTACATTGAAGGATGTGGTGAAGCATGTCTTGGACAAGTCACTTTATTTGTTTGGATATCATCCATAAAGTTGAGCACATAAAGTTGAGAAAAAAGGACGCTGCAACAAATTGGTGCTCTTTCATAAGGCACGCATTAACTTTCCTGTTTTGACCTTTAATCAAATTGTTTAAACAGTCAGAATTCCTTTTCTCCCTTGTTTGCCGGGTTTTGAAGCTAGTTTGAGGGATTTATGGGTATCATCCAACTGCGATTTTTTTTTTTTCCTTTCATATGACAAATTTCTCTTATAGGAATTGAAGTTAAAAATAAGTAATTATAGGGATGTATCACTTGAACCTTACCAGATTCTGTCAGCATGTATAATCTTAAAGTATTGTTTCCTAATTTCTTAATTGTTGAAAGTAGGGCCTTGTTTGGTCTCTAGGATTGGAATGGAATGGACAAACTACCATATTCAGGGTATATTAAAGATAGAGGTGAATGATTTTTCATGTTGAGGTGATTAGAAGGGGGATATGGAAAATAATCCCTTCTGATCCTTACCATTTTGGCAGATTGAAATGGAAAATAATCCATCTCATACCTTCAAGTAAGCCACAATTTTTTCATTTCTTTCATCAACATACCTTGAGTATAGTGGGTTGTCCATTTCAATCCAATCTTAGAGACCAAATGAGACCACAATTTTTTCATTTCTTTCCTGAACATACCTTGGATATAGGTTTATATATATATCAACATGCTTCAAACATCTTAATTTACAAGTTTCTTCTGTTTACCACTTTTATTTATAGGTTACATGCCTTGGTAACATTGCACGGAACATAGATAAAATTGGAAAGTTTCATGTCTATAAATTAAGAGCCATGTACCGAAAAAGTTAATATCTATACCTTTAACATTGCACATATGCTGCCTAAGCTGTTTTAGCGAAAAAGTTCATGTCGGTACGAGGGGCTTTTCGGAAAACCAGAGATTAGATATTTCCCTTATTTGTCTTCCTGTTTAAATTATGAGCCATGTATTAAATTTTCTCAACCTTTAAGATGTTTGCAGCTTCCTTACCATGAGATTACACTTGAGGCTGCACGGCCTGAAGTGTTCATTGACCATAAAGGAAAGTACTAGGATGTGCCTGAGTCAATTTCCTTAGATATGTCATCACTTGTCTCCGAATCTGGATGTGTACATAAAAACGGTGGTCATCCCCAGACAGTTAATTCCATAGTTGGTGAAGCACCTATTTCTCTAATGCCTGGATTCTGCGCAAACGCTGCCTTTTCTTTTGAAAAAAGCCAAGATCTTTGGAGGCAAAATGAGACACAAAAAGACATCATGATACAGAAAGAAAAGGGTTGGTGTTGGCGGCCATCTTATGATATGCGTCTTAAAGAATCTCATGCTGCAGTATCTGGAATCTTTGGTAATTTTACACGTTACTCGTATTTTCTGTGATAACTTGTATTATCTCTTTACATTTTTTTGGAAGTTTCATACTAATACTCAGGTGTATCTTATAATTTTTAGCTTATACATTTGCATGTTTTTATACATGTATATGTGTTTTGGTACCTCTTAGTTTCGTTTATATTGTATGTGTGTAGTTTTCTACTTTAGTATATTAAAAGCCAGTAGACTTAAGGAGTATGTCACCTCCTTTCATGGTGTTCCGTGGTGGTCGGTGTGACTGCAGTAAAAGAAAATAATAGTAATAAAAAATAATTCGAGAGACAAATTCTAACAGAACAATTCAATATTTTTATTTTGTGTTTATGAGTCCAGATCCGTTGCCGACAGTATGCAGTATCTTTAGGTTTTTACTTTAACTATTTCCTGATGTTTGCCCCAGGGAAGGCCAGATACGAAATTCTATAATTGTCAAAATTAATCATTGTTTGTGCTACAGTTCCCTTTTGTTTGCAAAATGAAATTGTAATGCCATTCTCACTTCTTGTGGTCAATGGTGGCATTACATTTTAGGTGGAAGCTGCACTGCCTGGTTTCAGGATGGGTACAACCCAGTGGCAGTTGATATGAGGGGAGACAAGGGCAATTTTAGGAGCAATAAGAAGAGAAGTCCATTCCATGCTGATTTTTTCGGCTGTCTCTGTTATACTTTCCAGCACGGAAAATTTAGAGAGCTCTATGGTGATCCGACCAGGATTGACACTCGCCTGGATATTTGTTCAGCTTCAGCTTTGGCTAAAAGGGTGATTAATGGTTTGAAGAGTTCCTCTGCTAATAGTGCAACAGATCCGATGTCCTCCCCTAGGATCAATCTAATCTTTCAGCACCAGGTATTTCTATTTATACCGTAACTTTTTAAATGTTTCGCACCTTAAGTTGTAAGAGAATTTTTTAAATGCTATGCACAATGTGTTGCAAAACCTGCATTGTCATTTGCTAATTGGTACTTGTGGAAACGTGTCTGCCCTGTCTAATTTCAATAATCTGCAGTCATTTTTCTGCTGATGTATCTGTACTGTACGACTATTAGATCAGCATAGAACTTTAAAATGAGAGGATGAAAAGCTGAGCTCCTTTATATGGCTATTAACATGCGTGGCTGGGGTGAATGTTTTGGTTACTGGGATGAAAATCCAATTGTTATTGACACAATACCTTTCCTTTGTAGATTTATGGGTCAATCGTCTTTAGACCGGATTCCAGGGTTGCACTCGACTCTTTGTGCTGGAAACACGCCCCACATATTGAGGATTTCATATACAGCTTGAGCTACTCCTTGAGACTTTTAAGAACAGGGAAGGTCGTTGCTTGATATTCCCCAAAAAGAAAAGAAGGGATGATTGAGTTGCGCTTATTTTGAGTTTTAACTCCCGATTTTCATTTACATGTTGGAAATGTATGTTTTGATGTGTATTCCATTTAGGTAATTTAGCTAGACAGTAGAAAGCGAGAAGGCTTCCGGTTCAGAATGTAGTTACAAAGATTTGAGTAATACTGTTTTTATTGATCGAAGGGAACAGATTGTCATCTGCGAGCAAATAGTAATTCTGTGTTTATTGATCAAACAAAATACCAAGGAAAAGTTAGTTTTACATAAGAAACATTACTAACTTGACATGCCAATGCTGCTCAGTATGCTTCTTTCTGATCTGACGCAATTGTGTCGCATCACTAGTGTCCACCCTCTCTCAACAATGATTCTTCAAATTAGATGCCAATGCTGGTGATATTCTCGTTATTGTGATTGCTAGCATTCATCTGATCACCCTCAACATTTTCTTGAACGAGGGATCGACAATATCTACCAGATGCCTTAACAAAGTTATGCAGGTTTGAAGATCTTTGAAACATGTTATCTGTTGGTCTTTTTGCTGTAAACATTTTCAATAAGAGAATGCCGTAGCTGTACACATCGCATCTTGTCCAAACTTCATGTCCCATAATATATTGTGCTTTAATACATAATTAAATTGATCACAAACACTAGGTAGTTAGGTTTTCAAACAATTAACATACAAAGCTAAAGTTGGGGACGTCTTCAGCTTTCAAAAGGGAGCTTTTGAGACTAAATTGGAGTTGATTTGGTCAGTCAAAATCTGATTTTTACTGCCGTGCGAACGGCTTGGTAGAAAAATCTGGAATTTTGACATAATCATCTTGAAGAACTCATGAACATCCTCCAATTGGACTCACTCCAAAATTCGTCCATTTGTTCACTTTAGCTCAAGAGAAAGTTGCATGTCCTACATTGAAAATACATAACAAAGTATCAAAGTTCTACCAAAATAACCAATAAAATATAACTAAGAATAGGGTAAAATATAAGGAAAACTTTGAGTTTTAATGATAAGGACAAAATAAAGGGTAAAGTGAATAGTATCAGGATTGACATTTTAGTGTAAAAATGTGGTTTTTCGTTAAAGTGAATAATACCGGGAGTTTTCGTTAAAGTTCCCTAAAATATATGGTATAATATTGAATCATCAACTACAATAAAACATTTGCACCAGTTTAGAACTTTGATAGCTTTGGCTGCACAAAAGGGATGCAGTTTGTTCTAGCTAGATGTGAAGTCTGCTTTCCTAAATGAAAGAAGAGGAGTTCCACCGTCATCGTAACAATCTTACGTAGTTCTTCCAATTACTTATGAATTACTCATGCATATTTCGAATGTCAGGTTTTCCTAATATATGTCCTACTTGGAACCTCCAACATAGAACGTATATCTAACATGCAATCCGTCCAGACGTTCGGATCAAATATGAACATGAAAAACTCATTAAGCTTTATGAAAACACTTTGAAAAACCATGCAACCCTTAAGACGTGGTGTTCATCCTAAGTGAAATTACAATTATTAACCACAAGAAGCATTCCTTAATTTCAGGGTGACATTCCTACAGAAATTGCATCTGATTACTTATCTAAATATCATAATGGTCGCGAATCATTAATACATAGAAACAATTTAAACACAATGATTAATAATTCAAGGCACGCATACATAATATCATAAGCAATTAAATAAAGACTACATATTCATGCTAAGGATCAAGGCATCGCCTTAGCAAAAAAAATTAGCTACGAACAATCATGGAACAAATATTATAAGAACATGGATAGAAAACACATTGTAAGTAAAAAGTCTGAAATTCTCCAAAAATAATGCGTTTGTAACCCTAATGGCTAAAAAGCCTTATTTATACTATTGCAAAATAAAATCGTACCTAGAAAAGGTCTTAGCATAAAACTAGGAAACATAATAAATAATAAACCAGCAAATAAAAGGTTTCCTATTGAACTGAAATTCTGACTTCTCAGAAAATCAGACTTTTGACCGACCAAATCAACTCCGATTTGGTCCCAAAATGTCTCTTTTGAAAGCTTAAGTTGTCCCCATCAAATCCCCAAAATGAATCTTCCTCAAAATATTCCATCTTGACCTCCAAAATATCCAAAACGTTCAAAACAGCTTGGTAGAAAAATCTGATCGAATGATCTTGAAAGACTCACGAACATCCTTCAATTGGAATCACTATAAAATTCATCTGTTTGATCACTTTTTGCTCAAGAGGAAGTCGCATGCCTTACATTGAAAATACATAACAAATTATCAAAATTCTACCAAAATAACCAATAAACTACAACTAAGAATAGAGTAAAATATATGGTGTAATATGGACTCATCAAATACCCCCAAACTTTGCTTTTTGCTTGTCCTCAAGCAAAACAAAACTCAAAAACAAAAAATAAAAACTAAAAAACTAAAAAACTAAAAACTTTAACAAAACTTGACTAAGACAATTTTCACCTTTAAGTTGGAATCCATAGAAAATGTTAAAATTGAACATCTTTTCAAAAATTTCAACTAATACCATCACAGAGTCTAAGCCATTTAGAATTAATTGGAAAAGAACTCATAAACTTCTTTTGGTGTAAAGTGAACCAACATAGTTAAAGAGACTCGACTAAAACCATTACCACTCATCCTTTTTATTTAATACTTACTAACTTCAAACATAACTTTTTTTTTTCTTCTTTCCGACTTTTTAATTTTTTTTTTTATCGTAATAGTAGTGGTTGTGCAATGTTAGGTCACTTAAGCTTTCGATCCAACCCATGTAATGAGTTTTAGATCAATGACTCCCAAACCACAAGGGCTTAAGGGCACTAGGTGTAGAACACCCTAAAGACTTGCTAACTCAAGCTGAAAAACTACGAAACCAACTAACCACCTTACCTCATGCCAAGACTCTATTGTTTGATGCGAGAATCACTGCTGATCAAGCAGGACTGGCCAAGTTACTCAGCAAATTCTTGTGGAACAATTATTACTTTATTTATAACAATAACTAAACTTTACTTTTTTATAGAACAAAAAAAAAATTAACTCAGACGGAAAGCTAGCAAGTGCTTCAATCTCACCCCCACAAATCATGTACAATGTGCTAATTGTTGTTGATAATTGCAAGTGTACAATATCGTCCAAGTAATATAGTGATAAGTAGAGTGTCGTTCAAACAAGGATCGGATTAACCTAAATTTACTATTGAGATTTACTTCAAACTAAACTTAAATAAAAGATGGATTACGATGACAAATTCAAATATGCAAAGAACCCAAACGAAAGTGAAAATATCAATTGAACAAACACGAAGTAAAAGTGAATGAATTATGAAAAATTAATATATTGAAGCACTAGGACATCAGGTTCCTCGTTCTCAATCCCATCTAATCCCGTTATTCATATTAAACTCAAATTATTCCCATGTTGCTAGCAATTATCCCTTGATTCGTCAATATTTCCTTTCAGAATATACTAACTGTGTTTCTAACTATCTACCCATGCTATGTCTAGCCACAAAAGTAGATAATCGAAACCCTTTACGCTAAATGGATAATTTCACAATACTACACAAGTCATAACCAGTATGTCTACTCAATTATGTAATTCATGGTAATTGTTATGAGAAGCAATCTACTAAACTCAACCTGTCAGTCCCAATTTAGTTCTTCACACAAATAATGGCCAGTTATTTGATAACGATAAAGCACAATAACAATTACTCAACATGGAAACAACCGAGATCAATATGAAATAATAAGAATTAGATGTTCATGATAAGAGTACACCCTAATCCTAGCAAAAGGACTTAGTTCATGATCGAATTAAAATACACCACGCTAGAATTCGAAAACAAAGAAGGAAACAACTGAAATTCCATTCTCCACTCCACAGCAAAGCTAGAATTCTCCAATTGCTTCTTCTTTCTCTCGGCTTATGTATGTGTCTGCGCTGTGTTCTTTTTTTTTTTTTTTGTCTCCCACTCCCTTGCGGCTGCTGGATTCCTCTCCTTTTAATCTGCCCTCCTTTTCCTTTAAAATCCCCCTCCTCTTTTCCTTTTCCGCAACCTTCTTGATAAGGGGATTAAAAACCTTCTCCTCCTTGGAATAGTCCAACGCCAGTTTTATGAAGCCCAAATTGGACTTAATTTGATAAAGCCCAAATTCCAGCACCACTCTCACATAGCATCAGTCCACTTCGTTATTCTTTCGTGCTTTCCTTGTAATTCTTCTAAAACTCCAGTTTTCTCCGAAAAAATAACTTCTATAAAATTCACACAAAATACATCAAATCCAACTGTTTTATATCAAACCATGACTAAATTAATAGGTAAAAGAGATACAAAATATACCTATCATATCAACCTAACACTAATTGTCAAAGGATAACTCATGAATTAGTGCCTAAACAACAATAATTAGAAAAGATTATATTGTGAGATTAATCTCTACCAAGTCCATTTGTTATAATGTTTAAAATAATCTATGAATATTAATTTAAAAAGAATGAAAAATTTTAGCATACTTAAAAATTAGAAATCTAAAAATTTTACTTTTCCACACCAAACTTAAATCACACATTATCCTCAAGATGCGGAAAAAATAAAGAAAGAAAACAAAAATATTAAAACCTTAAAAACTGAAAAATAGCTAACAAAGACAAAGAAAATAAACTAGGAAAATAGAAATAGAAAATAAAAGAAAGAAACAACAAAATATTGGAAAAAGAAGCAAAATTTCAGCGCTCTGGAGAGCTGAACCCGTGACAGGGAGCATGAACTAGAGGCCCATTTTAGCGACCAGATGCCCAATTCCTCATCTCTCCTAACTAGCGCCGTTTGAGAACCTTTCTCTCTCACTACCCACGAGCCCAGAGCCGTGAAAGCTATCTCCTTCATTTCCTCTCTCTCTTCGTTTCTCATAGGACTGAAATCCTAGCTTCTATCTACAACCCAGAACGTCAAAACATGAATCCAGCTCCGTCTCTGTCAAAAAGGGAACCCAGCCATGGCGATCTTTGATTCTAGCCCAGATTGTCACCATCGTGCATTCCTCTACGAAACCCGAGGTAAAGAGCTCTCATTCTCTCTGCGATTATGGTCTCCACTTGGCGATATCTGAAATAAAAATCCATCCAACCATTTTTCCCTTTCGTTTTCATGACCGAAGATGAAATGAAAACGAAATTCTGACTCATGCATGTATGTTTTCTGTATGCAGAC